AAAGCAGCAAAGCTGTTGGCAAATCTACCGTGCTTCTGACACTTCGAAGATATTACCCCATGAATATGACTTACGCCGCCGATGCAAAGCTTCGCATCATTGGGGTCGTAATATTATCGAAAGCGAACGGATGTGTAAAGACCATGCTACATGTCTCATCATGTAATTTGTTAACAAATTATTTGACTGTTATTAGTTAATAAATATTCATTTAGGACAATGCTCTATTATCAAATAAAAGCTGGGTAAACAAAACATATATAACTATCTGAATTTGAAATTGTTTCTTACCATAAGATAATCTATTTATTTATAAACTCTTATTTATATTATATGCGTCTCCTATAGCATTTAAGAGCAGTATATCACTCAGTTTGCTTAGCTAACTTTTTGTAACAAAGTTTAAAAAGACTAAAAAAAAAAAATAATAAATAAATACAGTTTATTTGGAAGTAAAAAGTTGACAGAACTTATCTGAAAATGCAGGAAACTCCATGCCAACAGTCAAGACTGGGTTCAACTCTGAAAATGAACGGAATGTGTACAAATAACTTCGATGATGTCAATGGCCCGATGCCCTGTGAAAGATGCATAACAAAAGGTATCTAAACTTAGACCACCTACCTCCCATGGCCCCCCTGGGCAATCTTTGGCCCCCGCTGCATTTACAATTTGTGGTCAGCCGTCGTCGCTGCGGGCGAAGTTTATTTCGCTTTTTATTGGATTTAAGCGATCATCGTTCAATTTATAGACAAATCAAATAACATTTTTTACTGCAGGTCGCGTTTTATGTGCTTCGACATTCGATAAAAATAAAACGAAAAATCGGGAATAAATTGGATTTGCTGTTGGCATGCAAATCGTTTGGCGCCAGGCTACAGCCAGGATTAGGTTGAAGCCTTTAATCACCTGACTAACCGATGCCCAATGCCAACTTTTGTTGGCCGGGTTAATGAAGCGCCTTGCATTGGCGGAAATCAAAAATCCACAGTGAACAATGTCAGGCGGAGTCTAGACGTGGGCGTGGAGTCCTTCGCTCTGGAGCTCATGAGCACGGTCGGCAGTTGAACAACAATCCTTTTGTGCTGGAGTCCTCGACTGTCAGCTGTATCAATATTGTTACAGTTCATTTTGTTTGGCCTCGACAAATAAAGCATTTTATGCAACCAGTTACCCAGCATTTCCCGGCATTTCCCGGCCCGCCCTCCATTCGTCTCAGCCGAACTATGCTATTTGCCTTGGCCATTGGCCAGTTTTGAGCTCTAGGTGGGCGTGTTTGTGGGCATGGTCCATTGAATTGGCATTGAGCTGAGCAGAGCCGAGACTTCAGCCGCCTGCTGCGGGCCAACTTTGCATGCCACATGCCACATGCGCTACACAATCATCGCCCCCTTTCAACCAGAGTTCAAATTCCATTGCTGAACTTTAAGAGTTTCAGTTTGACTGATAATTTACAGACAGGAGCATTGAGCTCCATTCGTTTTATTATATATAGAGGGATAGATGATTGTGTGTGTGTGTATTGAACCTATTGTTATTTAAATGAAGCTTAGACTAAGCTCTTGATGGGTTTATATTTGATATCCCTGTGTTTGCTCAATTGAAAATTGTTAAGGCAGCAAGAGAGATACAAATTCAAAAGCGCAATTGTTTTCCAATTAAAGCAATTAGAGAATGAGGAGCTTATGGAATGATACTGAAGACTGCTATTAGCAGAGTCGAGGTAGAGTTGAGGCACAATAAAAGAAAATTGTACTAAAGAGAAAAATTGATTGAAAAATTAAGCCAGGCTCAAGTCATCCAATTGGAATATACTTTAAAGAGCTAAACATAGCAGAGAATGCAGTGAAAATCCCCATAAGAAATCGCTTTTAATGTGTGTTGGGCCATAAATTCTGTTGTTAAGCTAACAGACGTTGGAATTAAATGATTTAAATTGCGCTTCTGGCCGAGAAGGAAATTTTGAGAGAAAAAAACCGGGTCCAAGTGGAAATCGGACAAATGCGAATGAAATTTGTGCGCGTGAAGCCGTGTGAAAGTTGTTGCCGCTGCCGGCTCGCTCATAAATAAATAAAATTCTACTTATACAAATGTGTGTGCTTGTGTGTGTGTGTGTTAGCCTGGCTGTGTGTGGCACACAATTTTGCGAGAAATGCTCTTTTTTATTTCTGGCACTTTTTAATAAAACTTTGAAATGAATTACTCAAGTCGACGCTTGGCTTCATCTCGCTCTTGCTACCAAAATGGACCGAAATAGTTTGAATGAGTTTTTTCTTCGGACTAGATTATGTTTTATAATTTAGTTATTATAATCATCATCAGCTAATACTAAATAGAGAAAGCTATACAAAACTTGAAAATAGAAAGTAAAATTATCTAAAAAATATTCTGCTCTTAGCCTAATCAGATTTATAGGCAACTGAAAATGGCAGAGTATTGCCGCTTCGTTGTGACAAGCCATTTCCATTTCTTATATAATTCTTGTTCCTGTTTGTTGGCCAGCCAAAGTTGGTAAGATTTACGTTTGCCATTTGCAGTAGGAAACTAAAGAAAAAATAAGCGACTAAGGCTAAGGGAGGGCGAGGGGACCATCAAGTGCAACACGTTGCGCGTAAAGTCAGAGGAACAAATGGGTCTGAGGGCAGGGAAGGACATGGAATTATGCCAGCTATTGTCAAGCTATTAATTTATGAAACTAATGCGGTTGGCTCCGCTCACAGGACATTACACAAGTGCGTCAAGCAGAACACAAAGGAATAAAGGCCCAAAGCTCAAAAGCAGAAATATGGCACAGCAACTGAGAAAAAATCATATGAAGTAAAGAGTTGTTTAAGCTAAATCATAATTTGAATTAAAATTAAATTTACTTTGAGTTATTCTAGTTGACATGTTGTGTGCCAACCGAGTTAAGTTATTTCTCTACTGAAACTAATTGCAAAATATTTTCTTTGAAATGCAATCTGGATATATGCGCGAGTCCGCTGAATACAAACACACATGCAAACAGATAGCATCATAATTGCATATACACACACATGAAAGCATCAAGTTTGAAGTGTATACTAAGCCCCATGCACACATACACCCATCCACTCAGAACATCGGGACATCTTCAGCAGCGTAGTTCAATGCACCGCCAGGACGTGAGTAGGAAATTATTAAGTCACAATGGGCCAACGGCAACAGCAACAGCAACAGCAAAGGCAACAGCAACAGCAGGAGCAACAGAGGCAGCGACATTTGTGCAGATAAAAATTTATTTGCGATGCGCCAGGTGCGGCTGGCGTTGAGAAGGATTCGGTTGCTTTACCTGGCTAGGATGAGGATGCGACAGGAAATTCATCAATGTCTGCAGCGTCTGTTGGCTCCATGCGAGGCGTGCTCCATTCTTCAGCAGAGCCTGAAATTGCCTACAAGTCTGAGAAATAAATAGAGTGTCTGAAGATGAGGGGACGATGACAGCGCTCGCGCTGGGCTGGCTCCTGGAAGCGGGCTGTAGTTATTTACGGACCGGAGACAGCGCACAAACCACGCCACAGGAAACGACTGTGAATTCATTCTCTTCTCCAGCTTCCTAATTTTTTTTTTTTTTTTAGCGGAGAGGAAATTATGAATTTTTTGCTGTTTTACTTGTCGCTTTTAAGATACAATTTTCGTTTAAAGCAGAACATTTTATGCAAATGAGCTACTTTGATGTGCTGGCGCCATCTATCGCCAAGAAGCGAAACCTTGAGCGAATTAGCATCAGGCGTGAGAGAAGCCAAACCAAAATGTACTCTTGGCAAATGTACTATGAGGCAAAGTTCCTTAATTAATGTTAAGCTATTCCAGTAAAATAAAGTCAGCCAACATTTAAAGAAAACGCGCAACTTTTTCTGCAGGGCACAACACACAGAATTCTTGGAAAGAAATAACGAAAATATGTACTTATGAGTGTGGTTGTATTTTAATCTGACATGGCTCATGTTTGCCATCTCGGAATCCGCTGTCTGTCTGCTTGGCCGGCCAGTCAGTTGGCACTTGGCACTTGTCAGCGGCACTCGGCGCGCCGAGCGAAATTAACAAGTTGATCCTTTGTCAAATCAGTCAAGCGCACTCAAATGCGCAAAATCCACAAAAGTGACTGCAAAGCGAGCGAAGCAAACCACTAAACCAACCACCCATATTAGCACCACATCCACATCCACACCCACTCCCACTCCCACTTCGCTGCACTCGCCCCGCCTGCAAAGAACTCAACAATATGTAAATTCTCATATACGTGTGGCCAGAAATAAGCTACAGTCAGCGAAACCCAGTCAAGTAGCACAGTCAGAGCCCAGAAATAAAGGAGGACACAAACTAAAGTAAAAAGTACAAAAACTGTGTATAGATTGGCTTATTAGAATACTCGCTTCGATTTTCATTTAGCATACTATGCAAATCAGAAAGACGCAAGTTTTGCATACAAATTCCAAATTTACTGCGATTCGAAATTAAAACTATAAATAAAGCATAAATAACTTTGAGCCTAACTCTTGAATGTGTTTCAGCCTATTTAGCATACTAAACAATTTGTGAGAGGTAAACTCAAGCGCTGCTTGTTTATGCAGTCCATAAAACTAATTTAGTGTAGAACAGGTGTGACATTCTGAATTTAAAACGAAAAGAAATAATATACTTGTCTTTTAATGCATATGTAAATAGTTTTCATACTCTGTAATAGTCTCATGAAATTCAGGAAAATGTCACTCCATATGCCATAAGACATATTGCAAAGCTTATTCGATTTTCATTTTGCAATAAAATATATCATTTCCATATTCTCTCTTCCAGCTAGATTTATCATTTCTTACTCAAATATTTCAAAGAACACATCAGACTGCAATAAATGTTCATTCTGCTTTCAAATATATTAATTTAACATTCATCAAATATTCAATATTTCTATTTCCTCTCTCATTGTTGACTAGCCTCTCCTTTCCTTAAGGATTTCAGAATCAATAAATACTCGTTTTGCATTTTACACTTATGCATAATTAATTAATTATTTTATTGAGTTATTTTTACTTGTTCGCTATACTTAAATCATATTCATATTACATTTGCGTATTTAGCAACGCAATTTACATCAATATCAATTTTTTTTTAACATCTTTTTTTTTTTTTTTTGTCATTATAATTATTGTATTATGTCAAATTAACTTAATTGTTACAAATACATAGGCATTCACCTACATGTGCTCATATGTCAGAAAATGCAATGTAAGAATTTATGGTAATTGTATTCAGTGTATTCATTGTATTCATTGTATTTATACTATATAATCGAATAAACACTGAGAGATTGTGTAATTTACAATATATTCTTGAATGCGCTGCTAGGAAACATCAATCACAATATATATTAAATATATCTATATGTAAATATAAATATATATGTATAAGTGTGTGTGTTTTACATATATATTTATGTTTTTCTTTGCATATTTATATTTAGTTTCTATAGACTGCATTTTCTGGCCATTGCATTCGAAATATCTAGCAACATTCATTTCATTTGCACACAAGCATTTGTCAATCAAATATATTTGCGATTTTCATTTGATTTTGCTCCGGTTACCGTTGTCTCTCTCTCTCTTGTTGCTGTTGTTGTTGCTGCTGTTAGCCACGCCCCCTTAATTGCTGGCATAGTCCTCGATGAATGTGTCGATAATGTAACGCTTAACTTCGTTAATCGATGTCCTCTTGTTGCTGCACTGCAGCCGCTCCTGATGCTCGGGCAGCACAAGCAACTGCTGCAGTTCGCCCTGGAAATGCGTTTACGTTTGTATTTATAAATTTGATGTCTCGTATTTCGTAAAGGGGAAGTTTTTTATGACAATTATCTGCCTATTAAGTAATATTATGGGACCACGAGGCGTATGCGTTATCGGCTTTATACAGCACTGAAAGTGCACATCACATGCGTCGCGTTGAATTCACAGTTATCGCATTAAATTGTTTGCACAATTTATGGCTCCAAAGCCCTCCCCAGCCTCAATTTTCCCAACGGCAGTTGAAATTGCAGAAATTGCTTGTAAACTGTCACACATTGTTTTTCCCAGCGCTGCGGGCGATGCGTCGGGATGAAAATCAATTGGGAAATTAATATTACAAAAATTGTTTCCCCTTTATGGTGCACGGTAGCAGCTGTGCGTGTGATGAAATATATGCATTAAATTGCATTGAAGGGCTGACGTATTGATATGGAAACTATACAAAGGAATATTATATAGAATTCATGGAAGCGTATCGATAAAGTATTGGCTCGTTATTGACTGATTCTTCGAGTTGAAAAAGTGGAGGAGTTTTTGTGCTACTTTACTGAACACTTGGACTTTTGAATAGATATAGTTATCGATAACGTAGTTTTATTGTAGCTCTATATGCGACATTACTGAATGAAAGTATGCACATTAGAAAGTTATCGATAAGTTATCGATAACTACGTTTGCCTAATATTTTACAAATTGTTTGCTATACTAATAAGAACGTCAATCTAATATTGACATAATTATTTTTCAATACAACATTCAGTTATCGATAACATACTACGTGGGAAATATTTATAAACATTGGAAAATTGCGTTTATTCAGCTGTTAATTATTAGTATGTGTGTATATTAAATTTAGTATACTGAATTTCCTACCTAACAAGTTGTCGTACAATTTATTGCGTTAGATTTGTCAATTATTTTCAGAATTTGTCCCCATACTCACATTAAAGCCGCGTCCAATTTCCACATCCGCGTCCAGGGGTAGCGTGAACAGTCGCTTCGAGACGACAAAACTGTTTGTCCACAGGCAATCGACGTAAATTGATATGAAATCGCCATTTTGTATGCTGCAGCATCGCGCGTGAGTAGAGAGGTGCAAATAATTAAAATAGTACATACATTTTCCGAGTATTACGTACAGTGAAGCATAAAAAAATGTGCCAACGGCCTTTGACAAATGGCGCCCACTTTAACCGAAGGTCGATTCGCTAGCTGGTGTTGTTTGGCAAATAAACACAAACACCCGCGCACACAGACACCGAGTGCCACTCGATATTCATATACATATATTTGAGTGGGTGTATGTGTGCGAGTGTGCGTGTGTGTGTGTGTGTACATATGTGAGCGACTGTGCGTGCTATTTGCATGTGTGTCAAGTGCTTCGAGTGTTTCCACTGTGCACGTTCATTGGCACAAGCAATTTATGTTAATAAATTGAAAACGCAAATAAAATGAAAGTGTCAATGATAGCAATGGGCAATAAGCCACAAGAACAGACACCCACACACGCACACATACAGTCGCAGTCATGGATCATTGTTAGAGCACGCACACTGATGACTATCTGGTATAGAAACAACAACAACCACAGCAACAACAACACCGTCTGCCACTCACCTGATGGCTACTTGATGCCAGCGATAATCATATAAATTGAATTTCACCGGCAACATTTCCGTTGTATTGTCGCGCTCCAAATATAGACGCAGTCCATCCTTGCACGCCTCCAGATACAGATTGTGTGTGACATTGCGTATGGAGAATATTGTCGATGCATTTTTCGTATCATTCTGCAAATGGAGCATAGTAGTCAAATGAAAAGCAGGTGGAGACTAAATGATAGACATGATTATAGCTGGTAAAACTGTATAGAAGAGTTTTGATATTTATTCCTATAAATCAATAAATCCCAACGTGGCATCTTACCTTAGCTCGCAGCGTGATCATCAGGGTAAAGTTTTGCATATTCCCCCAGCTGCGTATGTAGCCCATGTTCGAGGGCGTTGAAGACGAGGACGAGCCCACGGAGAAGGCTGTCGTGACGTCCGGCACATCAGCCATGGACAAACTGTCGTTGCTGGCCACAGGCAATTCGTCAGCATTGAACGCGGGCAGCTTCTTGTAGAACTTGAGCAGATCGCTAATGTCGTCTGTGGAGAGGGATTTGCAATAAATGAGCATGCGGCAGGTGTGTAGGTGAGCAGGTGAGGCGAGTCTTACCACTGCACTCGAAGCTGTTGCAGTTGCGCTGCTCGATGTTGTAGCCCTCGCAGAGTAGCGTGGAGAGCGCTAGGCTCTTGGCAGCCTTGCGTTTTTTGTGCTGATTATTTGCACGTGGCCTGCGACGGTCATTACGTGCAACTGGCACAAAGCTGACACCTGTGCGCGTCGCTTCATTACCGTCGCTTGTTAACCCAGTTGCTGCTGATGTTGCTGCTGCTGTTGCTGTTGCTGTTATCGTTGACTGTGTGCTTTTATGCATCAGTGTGCTCGTGACAGTAGCAGCTGCAACAGCTGCTGGTTGCATCATCATCAGTAGCGCATCCTCAGTCCCGTCCATGTCCTGGCTGAGCACTTCATTATTATCAGCATTGAATGCGGCTGCCGTTGTTGCCGTGCCCATCACCGCTGGCGCATCATTATTCGCCTCGTCAGCAACTACTTCAGCGTCATCCACATCAAACTGCTTCTCCCCCACGCTTTCATCCTGTCCAGCCTCGTCATCACCGTCATCGTCCTCGTCATCCTCGTCATCTAGATTCAGATTCATATTCATGCTGATGCCCACCAGTGGATTGTCCAGCAGACAGCGACGGAAACGCTGCTGCACACCTTTGCCGCAGGTGACACTGCAAAGCGTAAAATCGCTCCAATCGTCCCAGCCTATAATTGATAAATGCATTAAATTCATTCAACTGTCGCTCCTCTTGCAATTGTATGTATGTATATGCTTTTAAGTGAATATCTGAGCTCGAAAAAGAGTCCATAAAAAATTAAATAAAATTGCGAGCATTTATGGGTAATTATTATTCATTGTTTTCAACAAATATGACATATTGACCATATCAGTATGTACTTAAATTTTAAAATTCTATATATACTTATAGATTGAACTTGAATGATAATTGAGAAGGTTTTGTATATAAATTTCATATAAATTTAAATACTAATACAATAATTTATTATTATTTTTTTTATTATTATTATTTCTGATACATAAGATAAGACATATAATAATCAATATTTGTTTAATAGTTGAAAAACTTATTTTTTAAATAATAAAAATTTAAAGAAAACATACTACAATTTTATAATGATTTTCAATATATAAGACAAAAGAATATAAATAATTTTTGATTTCTTTATCAAATATAGTTCATATATTATTGTTAATTTCATAACACAAAGTGATTATAATGATTTATTTCTATATTTATTTTATTAATAATATTTGTATAATTATTCATTAATTATTATTTAACATATATAACTGACAAAAAAAATAGTATATATATATTTGTATTAGTTTTTTAAATATATAAATAAATCAATAAATCATTTTTAAATAGAGAAAAGACATTATGCCTAGTTTGAATCCTGCATCTTGGTAATCACCTATCCTTGTATTTATGTGTACGTGTATTTTCGTATCCATAAATCATTTTATATATGTACTCATTGACGTCTATCTAGTCTGTGTGTGTGTGTGTGTTTAGGAAACAAGAAGTGACTACAAATATAACAAAATCGCGTTTGGTTTTTATGTTCCACGGATTTTCTATGCTGTTCACCGCAAAAGCCTCTTGAACTGTTGCCACAATTTGCTAGTGTGTATGTGTGTGTATTTGGCTCTGCTATCTATCTCTTGACACAAAAGTCAAGTGCTACATCCCACAAGTGATGCAGACTGCCAGAAAGTGCCTTGCGCCGAGCCGCGTACTGTGAGCAGAGCAGAATAATCGGATAGACCGCAGATAGTCGCCTGCTGCGTCATCATCATCGACATATCTGCTCTAAAGTACTTGGATTATTTTTTATAGTATTTACCAGACGACCTGGCCTAGCCATACAGGCACGCCGACCATTTTATTTGGGCATTCGGTAATCATTATTTAATTGATAACAAATATGAGAAGCTCCATCATAAGTACCCAGCATCGCCTTTTATATCTATGAAGTATTCAGGTTAATACCTTTCAGTAAAGGGAAACGTTTGAATTCGTTCATTCACGCGATTCACGCAGCAACGGGTTTCACAGATTTCAGGTATGAAAGGGGGGTCAAACGGGTTTCAAACTACAAATGCAGCAAATTCCGTGAGCTGGCAATTAGGTCTGATTGGCATGCTGAGTTGCCTATGGAGCCGGTCGGAAAACGGCGAGCCAGAGATGCCCGAAAAACTGCGAAAAGCATCCGCAGAGACGATTTGGGGCACAATGCAACCAACCACCAGACCAAATGCGATTAACAAGCGGAACTGCCAGAGCAACAATAGCAAAAGCTGGGAAAATTGAGTAGCAACAAGTACGTAAGAACAGGGGCGGGGCGGGGCTAGACGGTGCGGGCTATTATGGGGTCAACTTACCTAAGTGCTTCCAGATATGATTCTCAAATTGGGGCGTCCAACGATGCAGTCCGTTGACGCTGATGCGAAGCACATCCTTATCGCTGCCCACATCTAAGCCTGATCCCAGTTCTGGCCGTTGCAATTGCCTGGACTCAAGGGGGGAGTCCGTGCCGTAGCCCATGTTGGTTACCGCTGAGGCAGGCAGTAATTTGCCAAAAGCAATTAATTCCGTAGGCAACATTTTCAGCATATTAGCATCGAAGCAATGCAGCGGCTCTAGTGTGGCATTCAGTTGCCTGAGAGTGAGAGAGAGAGAGAGAAAGAGACAGAGAGAGAGAGGGTAAAGTGAGGAATGAAGATAGAGGCAGAGAGAGAGAAAGAGAGAGCAAAGGTTAGCCAATGAAAAGTCAGCATTAAATGAGAAACCGCACTAAGAATAAGAGCGCTTTGTGGTTTCACTGATTGCGCAATCAAGGTTTTTATTATTATTTATAGTGGTATTCCCAATGATTAATTTACTTATTTGCAAAGTATATTAATGTCAAACGGACACCTTTATATGCATACTCCATTAATTGTTAATACTTTAAAAATTGTTTGATAATTAACTTAAGTAAATAAAAAAGTTGCAGCCATTTTTAGAGGGAATATCAGAAATGAACTGAAATGATTTAATATCATTAATTCGCAAAATTGAAAAGAATATTGGGAGGAATATTTGTATAACTCTCCCAGGTTTACACATTTTGTAGAGGGAATATCATAAATGAACTGAAATGATTTAATGGTAGAGGGAATATCATTAACTTCATTTAATCTATGCAATCTGGGCAATCTATGTCCATATGGGCTTTAGAGATGGATACTTTTTAAACCGGGAACTTCTGCTAACTCTAACTAAACTTTTTTTCAGAGGGAATACCAGGGATAGTTCAATTTTAATTAGCTGAATAATGTTTGCAAATGTATTGCACTTACCCCTCATATTGGTAGGCAGCGCCGCTGTCGCTCCAAGCACTGGAACCGCTGACGCTGCCGCTGCGTCGAGTCCCGCCGGAAGCAGCATCATTGCCCAGGCTGCCATCGCCTGCCTCAGCGGCGGCAGCGGCAGCGGCAGCAGCGGCGGCAGCTCCGTTTGCCATTTTGAGCAGCGAAGCGCCTTTGTATATTGTTTCCGGCGTTAATGTTATTAAAATGGAGGACGATTGCGATGCAGAGGCCGAGTCGGACAGCTCGGCGTCCGTAAAGATGCGCGCGGCGAGAGCTTTAACAATTACCGGGCTGGTGCGAATCAGCTCCACAATGCCTTTGTGTGCGCAGCGACGCCGATCTGCAGTCGGCGTTGACGTCGGCGCCGCAGTTGCTGCAGCGGCGAGCAGCGCCAGCAGCAGCAGCAGCATCCAAATGGCCGCGCTGGGCAGATGAAGCAGATGATGATGTCGCATGGCTGCGCTCATTCTCGATGCAGCTGAAGTGCCCGCCATGGAAGCTGACTTCTTATATATATAGATATGTATATATATCTCTCTTTTATCTGTTTGATTGCGCGAACAAATTTCGCTCAGGTTGGCATTGCAGTTTTTTATCGCGCTGTGGCTTCAATTTACTTGCGCCAAAAGTCACGTTCCGGTCCGGAATCTTGATTCTTTTATGAGGGCGCAAATGCTGAGCGCACTTAAAACGCGTTGACATTCATTTCTATGCTGCAAAGATGAAAAGACACACAGAACTGTGAGATAGAAAAATAAACCAGGAGCCAGAAACAATGGGCGGACCTCATTTAAATGAATTGAATGTTATGCTTAGGTAAACCATAATTTAGGGCGTCGAACAGAGCGGCGAACCGAAAAATGAGGAGTTGTGCAATAAAAGGAGAAGCGAACAGAGAAGCAAAGCCATATAAGAGGCAATCATCTGACTATCATCCTACGGAATATAATAATAAATATATAAGCGCGAGCCTAGTGGGAAGTGCGAAGCGAAGTGCCTAGTGAAGTGCAAAGTAGGAATGTGAAGAGAGAAGCTGAAAGGGTAAAGCACAGTAAGCCGTGAAGGGAGAAGCGGAACAGGGAAGCGAATTTCGAGTGTAGTTATCCAATTTGAGCATATGCAAACTGCAAAACTGAAATCGACCTCAGCTATGGTCTATAGCTCAGCGAGCAGCCCCATTGCTTTTGATTACCTACTTAAATGAAAATAATTTCATTTGCAGAAGCCAACAATTTATTTGCATAGTGTGGAACGTGCAGTACTTGACCCAGGATGTAGCGAGTGCCAGCTCATGTTCAATGTTGCAGTTGGCAATGGATTGCAGCCATTAAGACTAAAGATATGTAGTCAGCCAGCCAGCCAGCCAGCCAGCCAGCCCCCCTGTTGACCTGCTTGAATAGCCTGTTCCTGCTGGCCAATGCCACACGCAGACCACAGAAATAATTAAACGCAATCCTTTGGTGCAGTCAATTTAAGATATTTGCTTTGGGTGCCCTTAATCCAGCTCCCACCCAGTCATCAAAGTCAATGCATTTGCTTTCATATCCTGCTGCAGGAAATAAATATCCCGATTAAATATTTCAGCTCTTTTGTAGTTCACCATATACCTCTGTCCCTCTCTCTCGCTCTAGCTCACTCTCTCTATCTCTGTCTCTCAGTTTCTAAAGCATGCTGCAGCAAACGCAATACAATGGTCATGCATTGTCCTGCCTGTGGCTGAGCTCTGCTGCTGGCTTCTCCATAAACGTGCAATAATCAAATAGAATTTTTACGCACATGAGCGCTGCACCCTCTAGCTGTCCCCACAGCTCGCCCCGTCTGCACCAACCCAGCCCCCCCAACCTGGCCAATGCCTTATCCTGGCAGCACATCCTGCTGCTGGCTGAAACAATGCGAGTAATGGCAGAGCAAAACATTTTGCCAGATAAATGTTGGCTCCTGCCTCTTGGCGATCTCTCTCTGTGTGTGTATGTGTGTGTGTTTATCCGTGTGTCTGTGTGTGTCTGTGTGTGTGTGTGTATGCGGGGCTAACAAAGTTACGACTGGCACTGAAATCATTCGCAATGTGCATATCCTGTGCTGCAGGCGCATCCTTTTTCGCCAACAGAAGGAGTTATGTAAAATAAAACCAACCGGCCGTGCAAAATTGAGCTCTCAATTGTTTTACGGCATTGCCTGACCCAGTAAAAAAATCAAACTGAAAGAGAAAAAAAAGAAAAACAATATAGAATAGTTTTCCCTGAGTTGGAAAATCTTAAATACCCTTGAAATATATTGTAATTGAAATGCATTATAGAAACTATAAATTAAATTTCTTTAGTCAGGGTCATTTACAACCATTTTAACCAACACTGTTTATAAGAATTTGATCCATACTCAAATCCTTAAGCTATAATCAGTAATATATAGTATAATAATATATATGTAGTATCTCGTTTGCACTGTTGCATATTCCCCGAGTCAAATATAGGGTAGAACTGATAACCCGGTCAAGTCTAGCGTAACAGCGGAGCAGATACAATGTATGAGCTTGGCCCGGACCAAGTAGATCCGTGTGCGCCGGAGCATTCTGCTGGCATTTTCCATTTCATGACCATTCGTCAGGTCACTTTCAACTTTCAGCAGAGTCTCCGGGGGCGGCAATCAGAGTAATTGTTATTGTTTTTTGCTCCTGCCCTGCCCTTTGTATCTTTTGTTGCAAAACTGTTGTTGTTGATGTTTTTGTTGCTGAACTGCTATTTTTTGCAAATTGTCAAAGTTGTTTCTTGCAGCTGAATATCAAATAAACTCGGGCTACAGGCCCTAAGTGGAATACACATGTCAAATTTGAATCTTCAATATGGACAGAACTGTTTCTATTTCAATTTTAATTATTTCGAAAGTGCCTTTTGGTCGTCAGTAAGTCGGATAAATTAGACAAGTCAACAAAGTTCGATAAAAGTACAATAAGCAATAATTAGAGTGAACGAAGGTTGACGTGCCGAGTCCTAGTCTGAAAGGAGGACTTACATATATGTCAATCACATCTGACTTGAGGTACATTGATGTTCTCACAATATATGATAATAATATAATAAATAAAATTAATTATTACGGCATTTCAAAATATATCTCTTTCGCATTAAAATCTTAGTTTAAAAGGTAGTAAAATAGAGCTCGAGAACTTATTTGAAAGTTCTGGTTAATGCCATCCAAAACCAAGTAGTACCATCTGAGTCTAAGCTAGTAAATTCTGCTGGCCTATAAGATCATCAAGTTCATGTGGCCATAGACATGAATTAATAATAAATATAAGTTCAGTTTGACATTGACTTATGAATATAAATGAAATTGAATATAAGAAAACATGCTCTATGACAATGCTTAAATATCATTTCGACCAATATAATAAATGACCATGCCGAATAGGGTTAAATATTACAATTTTGGTGGCCAATTAATTAAACTATTTTGTTACATGTTTCTGCATCAAGTCTGTATGTAAAATTTTTATTAAAATGGGAAAATAAATTAAATCAACTATTAATGAACATTTACATTCGTTACACACTCTATAGCTTAAAGATATCAACTGCCTATTAAATGAATCACATTTTGACTCTATTTACTATTTATATGATTATTTAAACAAAAAGTAACCATTAGTTGTTGTGGTTTATCAGGGCAATGAGGGTTGCTAACTCAAAATTCTGGACTTCTAAAATAACACTCGTGAGATACTTTAAGGATATCATTCATCTATATGTATGATATTTTCATGCTTTATAGCATCTTTTTATAAATTCTGATGTTTAAATTAATTTTGTAACAAATTTAAATTTTGCATGTTAATTTTTTTTTTTAATCCTAGCCCTCCCTTCACTCTCACTGTTGTCATATTTGTAATGCTGCTTAAGGCAAAATGAAATATATTTTCTATTTATCAATCAAATGGGTTTTTTTTTTGTCAGTTAAATATGTATTTAGTGAAAAGTTTTCGTTTTATTGGGAAACTTTCCCTCAATCAATTTGATATGGGACCAGTCGCTGACCCGAAAAAAAAAAAATAGAAAAAAACATGAAAACATTTCTGTTTTCAATGAAATGAAACCGTACAAAAAAAATACATTTCGTATGCGATTGATTATTATAAGGCAAAGCGGACGATAAATAAAGAGAGAGAAACCACACCAGCAAGGGCAAAAAAGGCCACATTAAAAAATGAGAGACCATTATTACAAATAAATTGAAGGCCAGTTGAATGTCTCTTAATGTGCATGTGTGTGTGTGGGTGTTAGAAAGTTGTTCGCTTTGTTGTTGGCAATGCTTGACATGATTGAATATCAAAAGCCAGTTGCCAAACGCAAATCTCTAGCATGTTTCGAGCGGTTCCCTAGACATCCGCGCGCACACCCACATCGAGCATCCGAGGCGGACAACGGGTCGAAAATTTAACAAGTACGACTCTCAAAGGACTCGTAAAACTGATAGCCGTCCGCTCGAGCCAGTCCCGAGTTGAAAAGCGCCGCACGTTTTCCTAAAGTTCTACAAGTGGCGCAAGGAGAATTGCCAACGGGCGCGGACGGCTGGCAGCGCGAGGCGGGGCGGGGCCAAAGCGGTTCACCGGCAGGCTCTGGGTTGCCGGTCGTGTCTGTGCTTGGGAGGCAAATTTTCTGCATAAGCCAGCAAATATATTTTGTGCACAAATTATGCCTTAAATGCCCCCGGACGTAGTCACTTTGGCTTGGGATTCGCTTTTCTCTGTTTTATGCCCGTTCACAAAATGGCCGAAAAGGTATATTGGGTAAATGCTATTGTTATGAAAAGCTGAGCATTGGCCGTCAGTTCGTCCATCTGTCTTTCTGACAATTTGAAATTGAAAATAAGAGTTTGGCTCAGAGGATTATATGAAATGCTCTTTTGCAGGCGAGACAATTCAAGGAATTTCTCTACTTGACGCTTACAGAACACAAGCGAATATCCAGCAGTCAATAACAGCCGACTGGAATATTCATATTTAATTTTTTTTTGTCCATGTCGGAGGTCCTTGTACGTTCCACACGCATACGCAATTATCCTCGGGGACAACTGTCGCCTTTTATCAGCACGAATGATTAAGGCCGAAATGTTTTAAAATTAATTTTATAGTGTCACCTCAAAGACCCGAGCATTCGCTGAGCCGTAATCTGGGTACTGCTATTATGCGGATTATGGGCAGCTGATACTCGTGTCCTGTGCATAAATAATGCCCGCACTCCACACTTAAACCACAATAAAAAGTACCATAAAATAACCAATTGCCATCCCATATGCTGCACAGATTTGTCGACGAGCGAGTCGGAGCTCGCAAAAAGTAGAAACACATTAGAGCTCTCCTTTAGTGTCGCATATTCCGCACGCCATGCAGATGACATAAAAAAAGGACATCCCAGTAGTTGATAGCTGTCTGTATCCGTATCCATTGTCGGGCGACAGCAGTGACTGCCATTCAATAGAGTCGTCTCTGTTTCCCATTCCCTGTCAAACGCCGCCCATTCGTACGTTTTTTTCTTTCGTCCTTTCATGCCAACTCTCATAATATGTAAATTATTTTGCACCCAGCACAATTGAGGCAACTGCCAGGACGAGGCTGGGCTCGGAGGCGTTGGAGGCTCTGTTGATTCCCTTGTTTGCTGACGAACTTTATCAATGAACGCAAAAATTCCTGCATAGCATTTTGTGCTGCTGCGTGTATGCCCTACCAAAGAGAGAGAGAGAGAGAGAGAAAGAGAGAGCGAGCGACTGAGACTGAGGCAGAGCATTGCAATATGCTTATCGAGTTGTCTATATAGACTTATCCTTTTGTTAACTTTGGTTAACTTTTGGTATGTATATATACGTTTATATATTCACATATCTATATCGGGTTATCAAGAAATAAATAATAATAGATAAGCAAAATATCGTACGTTAGGGCATTCAAAGTTCGACTTACTCTCATTCACTAAACTCTTCTCTTATTTCATCTGCTCCTTTTTGTTCAGCCACGCATTGTGGCTATATTAAATTCCGATTTTATTGATTTATATCTCGAGCATCTTCTATTTTTTATTCACTTAGGCAGCAGCTACAGCATCAGCTTAACGCATCCTTCTCGGCATGACAATGATAATGTAATCACTAACAGCATATATAGTTTTTACAGTCTTCTTTAAGGCCAAACCAAGCCTGGAATCTAAAAAGTGAATAGATAACTCGAATTTGTTTGCTGTCCAACTAAATTTGTTTTAGCTTTTAGTTAAATAAATACTTTTATCGTTTTCGCTCTCTCTGAGTCTTATTTGAAGTCTGAAGCTTTTAAGCAGGTTCTACATTATTTATCTGCTTGGCTCAATATTTACGAAGCGTAACGACTTAAGAACTCAGCAATAAAATATATTCGTATAATTTTTATTTTTATTTCTTTTTAAAGTATAAAATGACTTTTGTCAGAACCTCAGCTCTTAAAGCCCTTTAAAATTGAACGCATTTTCACTAAATTCTGCCATTTATCAGGCATGCAAATTACTTTGTTTTGACGCCCAGTTTGGAGAATCATGATTTACCGTAAATCCACTTAATAACTAAACAAATAAGTAAGTCGCAGACGTCGAATATATTTCAATTTTCAGTCTTTGTATTATGCAAACTCATTTCAGATGAAAGTTAATTTATAGCCCATCAGTAAACAACAACAACAACAACAACTACAAGTAAAGGGCCAAAAGGTTGTGAGCTCCATTAACCAAATGCCTTGGCATCGGCACTGGAGACTGAAGGGATGTTGGCCCGCAGCACATTCCGGCGTAATTTATGCGCACAATTAATTTTAAAATCCTAATCTCAGACAATATCAACATGCTTAACAGAGAAAAAGGGATTCGTGCGGCAAATACCGCACTGGGCATATACAAAATATATACACCTGCTGCGAGTATTATTGATATGCAGGAAAAAATAAACAAGTAATTGCGTTCTAGGCAGAATTGCATGACTAGACGATACCCTAACTTATGTTAGAGCTGTAACCTTAATCATTGATGATTCTTTTTATAGAATTTAAAGAAAACTCGCGCTGAATTATGAGAAATTTTGTAATAACTTTTTTTGGATGTGCCGAGTGGGATTTTGGGAGCGTAATTACGTATGCATATACATATGTAATAATATATGAATTCACTAAAGCCCAAGCTGCACTTATTATATTTAGCTGATTTAAAGACAATGTTAAATTATAATACTTCTAAACATGTTTAAGCTTCTATGGTTTCAGGGTATAAGATGGTAGTTTAAGAAATTTCTTTTAGTTGTAAAATATATGAAAATGATCGATCACAAATCTTTCCCTATTGATAAGCAAATGAAACAATCCAAGCTAATTAAATTCTGATAAAAAGAGGTAATACCCTATGATTATTATTATTTTTATTATCATTATTATTTTAGTAGTAGTATTTGACACCTTCCTACTCATTTCATTCGTACAGGATATACTTTGGCTTACTGTCTCGCTTGGGCAATTAATTAAAATTGAAGCGGAATGTTTGCTAATTGGGTATTTAATTTTCAGCTGTGATTAGGCGCCTCTTCAAATACCTATTTGGCGGGCTGATAAGCGGTACCGGCAATGGCGCTATAGCTGTGTCATAACTGGCAACAGTTAACCCGCGCGATTTAAGTGGTCTCGTTCATGGTTTAATGAGCACATCAAATGCGAACTTTATAGGTAGAAGCTCAGCCCGGTTAGCTGGAAATGCTCTTTGCGCTCTGCACTTACTGCCAGCTCGCCGTGCAGATGATAATTATAATGCCACTTAATGGTATAAGAGCAAGAGACCCATGTTGCCGTTACTGTTGCTGTTGTTGTTGCTCTTCTGCTCAGCTCCACTTAAATGCCACGGGCATTATGCGCTAAAATTTCAGGAGCGGAATAAGAGCTTCAGGAAGTACTTGAGCAACAGTTAAATAAAAATTTATGCTTAAATAATATAATATAAAACTATAAGATAACACAAAAAATTTAAAAAACTTTTATACATAAATACATATTTCATTGCCAAATTATATCGATATGGCTTAGATGTATTGCAAGTTCATAAAAAGTTTATATTTACTTATTGAAGTTATTAATATATTTAATAGACGACTTGCATCGCTCCATTTACAGTAACGCCAAGGCTCCCGCGTATTGCCCATTCCGCTCCTGCATTGCTTTTGCTCGTAAATTATGAACATTATCGCTAAGGACATTTAACTTGCAAATTACCATAGATCAGCATACCACAATGATGCGGGCACTATGGAACAACACAACCACACACACATAAATACAAATACCCATACACGCATGCACTAATAGTCAAAAATAAATGTATATAGAGACGCCCGCCCATTGGCTCTATCCTACATTATCTATATGTGTACACATTATTTTTATTGCACTCCACATATATGCAGAAATCGTGGAATATTTGGCGGTATCTAAGCAAGAACTTTGCACATTAACCTGTTACCTCTGTTATCTTTATGTACTTCTAGAGCAGTTTCTTTGCCATTGTTTGAGTTTGAATGGAAATGGGTCTGGAGGAGGGCTTAAAACAAGCTATCCCATATTCAATTATGCACAAAGCGACACACGAGTCCCTCTCGTAGTATTTCTCAAACACGCATTCCCACACTCACACACACATATTTACAAAGACATAAATCAATCCACAGAGCAGGCTGTGGGGAGCAGAGACAATGTGAATTTATATACATTTTATACTTTTGTGGCTACTTTGCGTTTTTTGCTGGATGCCCTCGCTGTCTGTTCAAGTTTTATGTGTTTCGTTTTATTATCACGCATGTCAGCTTGAATTTTATTTTAAATTATAACTAAATATATTTAAGGCTTGACAAAGGAATTTCCTACATCATATGACATTCAATTACTCTGAGAATAATATTGTATTTTGTTTAGCCTTATTAAACTTACCGGTAATCTCTTGTTTCAGCAGACTTATCGATGCTGTCACTAAATATCCATCATAATAAATTTGAGCCTCTCAGTTCGATTCCCAAGTGCCTGCACATACACACACACACACAGACACAGCTTTGCACACAGACTAAATTATGACCTTGTTGTGGGCTTAAGATTTGTTACTTTATCCTTGGCTGCAGTTCGCTTTTAAGCCAATCTGCTCGTTCCTCGAATTTTCCACCCGAAGTAGCAAACAGTCTATGAGATACAGTATCCAAGCTATTTAATAAGTTTACAACAAATAAATTTGTATTTTAAGGAAAGTTGCTGGCCTTTAATCTGAAAGTTTTAATTAAATGTTTATACGGCTTCTTTGTAGTTTATGCATATTGTTGTGCTTGAATAATTTACAGTGCTTGGTAATTCATTCAATTAAAAACTTGCCGTCATTTGAATAATAATAAATGCCTTGGGCATTTATTCCAATGTGAAAACAAATTAGAGATCTTCATGGAATTTTGGGCAATTTAATTTCTAGCTCTAAATAACGGCAACTACAGCAATATTTCAACTGTTTGTGTATGTGTGTGTTGCCGCCGCGGGCAGACCGCAAAGTGAAACTATTTTGTCTATTGTGAGATGCTGTGTGTAAAATTTGATTGCACACCTAATTGGCAAGCCAATTAAATTACACCTAACCACAATCAAAAACTAATTACAGTTAACTTAATTGCATTGTTTTTTAAATTTATTGTATTATTATTATATTTTTTTTTTTTTTTTTTGCGTAGTTCACAAAACCAAAATCTAACCACAGAATGTTTGCCAGTTGCGAAATTTATATGAATTTTAGTCCGAGTTTTGGTTGTTTAGCGAGCCAATTTGTTGACTTGGTCACGGACTTTTCACACTGGCGGATTACGACATAAACCTCTACAAGTTAGCCAAGCTCCGATGCGAGCCAAGTTCTGTGGCATTCGGTGTACGCGCCGCGAGCCAACTGTTTGCAAAATGCTTTCGGCAGCTGCTTTTATACCAGAGCCGAGTCCTTGCTAAAGCGTCGGCGCGGATAAATTGCTGTCTAGAAGCTAAGAGGCAAAAGGATGCACAGGATGCCGGCTGCATGCGCTGCTCTTTTGCCAGCGTTTGTTTACATACGGCGACAGCTGAGGCCAAGTGCCAGCCCGAGACTTGGAATCTCACTGTTGTCTAAGATGCTATTGTGAGTGTGTGTGTGTGTGTGTGTGTATGTGTATATTACATTGAAGTTTTAATTGAATTGCGGCAGCAAGTTTTTAACTGCATTCCACAAACACAAAACACACAACACAAACACACAGCCAGCAAAGGTGTGAGCCAAGTTTTGTGCCACAAAAGTTTACAGCTTTAAAGTTTTTCACTTTTGATGTGGCATCATTGCAGTTGCATTGCATTCTATTTTATTTTCTTACCGCTGATCCGCTTCTGCACTACTATCTCCCCCATCTCACCAATGCAGTTTAAGAAATGCGAGCTGAAACAAATAAAAGGCGCCAAACGCAGCAACGCGGCTGCTGCCCTCAAAAGTAGGCAACGCAAAATGTTCATTTGGCAAGCGTTCTGTCTGCTTGTGTGTGTGTGTGTTGGAAACTGTGTCGAACACCTGTTGTTATTATTGTTGTATTAGCTGGCAGCTTGTTTATGTTGCTGCTGTTCTTGTTGTTGTTGTTGTTGTTGTTATTGCTGCCCTCTGCTTGTTTGTTACTTTGTCTTTTCTTTAGATTTTGCCTGCCGCAAAAGTTTTGATTTCGCTTTTGTTTCAGTTGCTGCTCTTGTCGCCCCATTGCAATGCATTGTTCTTACTTGTTGGCAGAGTTTATAAGCAGCCTGCCAGGTGTTTTGATTTATTGCGGTTTGGTTAAGTGCGGCACCAACTTCATTTTAATCTCCCACAGTTTAAAAGTATTTTCTGCAGTGTGTATAGCTGCTTTTGTCATTGATCTGTGGGGGCTAAAAAGAAGAAAAAGAACAGAATGCTAATTACTCAAATCTATTGAAAGTATACGTATATGAACATATGTATATTAAATTATTTTCAAATGTAGTTCTAAAAAAAAAAAAAAAAACTGTATTCAAGCTAAAATACTCATTCAATCACTCGAACTTTTCTTTTAAGAGCAAAGTTTAACTGCCTTTGACTTTCCCCCGCAAAGATCTGAAGGCTGAGCCATAAATTATTTGAAAACCCGATAAATCATGAGTCTGTTCGCATATAAAATAACTTCTGCACTTCTTCATTACAGTTTCCCAAAAAGTTTATTTTTTCTTATCGACTGTGCGATTCCAACTCATTTCGTATGCCCTCTTATCTGCTGTGTTAACCCACTTAGAACAATTTAAGCGCTGTGCCAATTTCACACCCACAGCCACTGCAAACACATCCGGCCCCGTTCCTAGCTAGTTTCTTTATGCGGCTGATTCGTTTCAACGCTAATTACAATTACATTCCCATCCGATTGCCAGGGGACATTTCGAATATCGGGCTGGGAAGGGAGCCCAGCTTTGTAGCTGGCCCGCTGCTCGCGACATAGGCCCATTGAGACTCCAAACATAGCCATGCATATTTTATTCTCTGTGTTGTCGGCAAAATTTGCTGGCAAATTGCCTACGCCATTTTCGACAGCCCCGTTGCCACTGCCTTTGCCGCTTGCAATCCCATTTCTATGGCTACTCACAGAGCTCGGTTTTAGTCTGGTTTCTTTTTGCTCTCCGACCAGATTCGTTTGGCGTTTTGCAAGTGTAACTTAATTTGTTGCCCCATCGGTGGCTACAGCAGCCAAAAACCATTTGGTTCATGCACAATTTTGACACCCACCACGCCCACAACCCGCCAGTAGACACGCCCACTTACAAGTACATATGTACTCTACGGGCAGGGCCCGGCCTTGCTGCCGTTTTCATTAGTACTCAATTAATGGAGCATGATCTTAATGGGTTTTCAACAACAGGCCGTCCAAATCGAACTAAACCGAATGAGCCTAACACTGCCCGGCGCGTGGGCGGGCAACGAGGCGTGCCGTTTGCTAAGTGCGCCAAATCAGCAGAACTCTAATTGGAGGCGGACATAGGATGAGAGTCCGGATGAGCAAGAGCAAGGGCAAGAGGATGCGGAAGCAGCCAAGGGCGGTCATTGTGAGCTTTCAAAAAGTTTATTACTGCCAAAAAAGGCGAAAAAAAAACATATTGACCACACGTTGAACCACAAAGGAAAGGGAAAAATTGTTTGATCGAACAAGCGATACTCTGTAAAGGCAAATTGAAATATATCAGAAATCAGTCGCGACTCTTTTGTTTGATTTTAATTTTATCCCTCGAGCTGATAGCTCTTATCTTGTGTCATGTAATATCAGATTATATGTAAATTACAGGGTATTCGAAATGCAATTCTCTCTGTGTAGCTTTGGCATTATGTGTGAGAGTGATTCGCCAAAATTTCTACTACTGCTCGAGGCAGGGTGCGCGGCTTTAGCCGCTTGCTTTGAGTTGTTGATGGCTGCGTGGCTTTGAAGCCTCATTTGGCCAAACACTTGATGATTGATTTGAGCGCACGTTACGGAAATTGTGCTTACTTGCCAAATGTTGTGGCAGTTATTAAAGGCGAGTAGCACTTGGAATGGAAACTAATTCGAGTCGAATACTCTGTCTCTTTATCTCAGATTAAACGAATCGAAATCAATCGACTATCGACCTGTGCTTGCCAGGCGCCCCTCGCATTTCATGGGGTAAATATTTGCATTACACAAGTATTCCCCAATCAGCTCAGATCTGCGAGTTCGCTTCTCAATTACCTGATCGAATTTAAGAGCCCCGGCTTATGACGGCTTTACAAAGTGCGTGCAAACATAAATTTAAAGAAGCTTCTGCTCCAAATTTAAATATTTATTTTGGCAATTCGAGCGCAAAATATTCTATACCTCTTTTTGGGGCACTTTAACTGCAACATTGCCGAGCTCCACGCCTCGCGGATGTCTGGCCATATTCAATCAGTGTGAAAAAGGAAGAGGAAAATGAAAAGAAAATCCACCTTAACACGGCCCAGGGCGCGGCGGATAACAACTCGTCCGCGTGCCGACTGGGCCGCCGGGCAAACGAGGCTAATATTTCAGCGGCTCGAATGGCGTGAAGCAATTGCATTCCGGTTATTGTGTATATTTACGGGCCATATTTATTGCCAAGCATCTGGCAGCCGATGAAATACAATTTCAAACCTGCATTTGCTATAAGCGAATTGTCTGCGTTAACTTTTCCCCAGGCTTTCCTCGAGCTATGCAAATGCCATTGGTGGGAAATTCGATGAAAAGCATCAGCGAGCCACTTGGCTTGGCTATACAAAGCACACATAAGCATACAAGAGTATAGGAGATACCTTTGGAACACATTTAACTTTTACACGATTATTATATCAACGTATAGTCTATGAGCTCGCTTTTTTGGGGATTTCCCACATTCGGAGTGAGGGATATTACACTAAATAATTGATATTAAATATATGACAGCTTAAAAGTTGTTAAATGTCTTTAATTTTATTATGTTTCGTTTAAAGACATGTCTGGCTCTTGTATATGCCAAATTAAAGACTGAGCACTTCTGCTCTCAGTGAATTTTGAATATACTTTAGAAAGAGAAGCACTTGTGAACAGCTTTACCCAATTACGAAATAAAATTTTCATATTTTCATGAATTTTCCAAGTGCCATTCGAAGAAAAAAGCAAAACACTTCAAGCAATCCAAATTTGTTGTTATACCCGGTACTAAACGAAAAAGGGTATGCCGTGCTAGATGCAAAACTAGATCAACCACCAACTCTATCAACGTGATGTAAAAAGATACAAGAAAATACAAAAAAATGTATTTTCTCTTGTCACTTTCATCTTGACTATTCGAATATAAAATATCAAGTACTTCAAACAAGAAGCAGATATCTAGAATATCAGTAAGTCGATTGGCTACTCTGTTGAGATTCCTGAAATACTTGAATTTCACTTATACTTCAGATACTTGAAACCGAAAATTGAGCATTTTCTTAGTTCTTTCTGAGGCATAAGCAAATGCAGGAGTTTTGTCCTTTTCTTTTGCCTTTTTGCCTGTCGCACGGTAATGAGATTTATTACAACAGATTGTTACAATATTTTCATGATGAGCAAAACAGCGAGACAAGAGCAATTTAATTTTTAATTTTCCAAATGAATGCGCGCAAATTAGGCTCATTACGATGCCAGATTATTCCCCAAAAATAGCATGTGTGTGTGCAAGTGCTTCGCCCTAGGATAATCGTGGAAATAGGCGTGGGTGCTCACGACAGCCTCTTTAAAGTTCCGTAAATACTACTTAATTCTTTTCCAGAGAATTTCTTTAAGCTGTTGCCCAGCTGTGAGCCTAGTTGAATTTTATCGTTTTTCAAGCCGTTAAGCAGAGTCCCCCAAATGGACAGCCCGGGGAAGGAGGTTAACTTTTCGGTGGAAGCTGTAAGCGAGATAGACGGAGGCGATAGACGTAACACAAACATATCCGTATCCAATTTCTGAGCTGTCGTTCACACTTGACCAGCTTTCAATTACCCTACAAAATAGGTGCACTACTGGGGATTGGGCATACACTCTGACATGGGTGTATTGATTAACATAGAAAGTTTTGCTGGATAATTTATTGTATTGGAGAAATACATAAATATGGAGATTAATTTGCATTATTCAAGATATTTTATGATCAGGCTGAAGAAATGGTGAGCTGAGAGGGCTTTAAAATTACACACAAAATAAACTTGTATATCCGAAACCCAACTGAAATGGGAATTAAGGTTAAAACTTAAAGATTATAATAAACGGATTGTTTTTATTTATTTTAAAATTAAAGAATACACAATTTTTTGTAAAATATATATCACATTTGCTTCAAGTAGAAATCTTGGTATCAATTTTTGAATATGATATATCTCAAATAACAGGCTTAGCCTGTGCCCGT